AGATAAAAGGAAGGAAAAAGGAGGAAAAAGGAGAAAAATAAGAAAAAGGGAGAAAAGGGAGAAAAAAAGAGGAAAAAGGGAGAAGAATGAGGAAAAAGGAGAAAAAAAGGAGAAAAAAGGAGAAAAAGGGAGAAAAATAAGAAAAAAGGGAGAAAAGAGAGAAAAAAAGGGTGAAAAAGGAGAAAAAAAAGGAGAAAAAAGGAGAAAAAAAGGAGAAAAAGGTCTCTCCCAACCTCCTGTTGCCTCAATGTTCCTTTGCCTCCCGCGGGAGAAGCTGCTCCATGAAACCCCCCAGTCCCCCCAGTGCTGTCCCAAATGACCCTCCTGAAGCCACCGGCTCGTTCTCCACCCTTCTCCCCCTCCTTTTCCAGCAGGAACAGCCTTAAATCTGCCTCTTCCAAAGGGTGTTTTTGTGCGGTTTCGCCCCCTCCTTGGCACGGGGGGCACCCAGAACCCACCCTCCCCTTTCTCTTTCCTTCCCTGCCTGGGTGAATCTGAACCCCCCAGAAAGACGGTACAGGCTGAAAAAAAAACCAGAGGATCCAACTTTATTTTTCCAGGTTCTCCGCCGGGAGGGGAAGTGACGCCCTCCCTGGATCCCGATCCTGCCCCATCCCAGCGTGCTGGTGGAAAGCTCAGCCCGGTTTGGCGCTGGAGTGACCACCGGGGACACCCCGAAGGCAAAAAGGGGACGCGATTGAAGGGTGGCAGCGCCGGTGATTTGCTCCTGGCAAACCCAGCTCAGGCCGGTTTTGGAGCGGGGAAACCGGGAAGAGACGAGCGGGAAGCAGAAAGTGGCTCTCGGGTGTCTGTGAGGGTGGGGGGAATATTGGCATTGGAATAACTTCCCGTTATTATCCTCCCCATGGGTCTCAGCATTCCGGGGGTGTTTTTGGGAAGCTGTTGGGGGTTTTAGGGAGAGCAAAGGGGCTCCTCAGCCCCCTGAGCCCCAGCATTGCTCAAGGACCCCCTGCCAGGGAATGCAAAGGTTGTCAGGGTTTTCTTGCTGAGGCAGAGCTTGGGAGGCAAATTCTCGGTGCAAGGAGGGAAAAGAGCTCCCCTCCACACACTTTGGTTTCCTGCTGGTGTTGTATGGAAAATTGTGGGAAATGGGGGAAAAAAGGAGGGGGAAATGAGGGCAAAGTGAGGGGGAAGTGAGGGGGAAGTGAGGGGGAAGTGAGGAAGGAGAAAAGGGAGAGAAAAGGAAAGTGAGAAAAGGAAGGAGAGAAAAGAGAGAAAAGGAAGGAGAAGAAAAAAGGAAAGAGAAGAGAAAAGGAAGGAGAAGAAAAGGAAGGAAAAGAAAAGGAAGGAGAAAAAAAGGAAGGAGAAGAAAAAGGAAGGGGGAGAAAAAGGAAGGGGGAGAAAAAGGAAGGAGGAGGAAAAAGGAAGGAGAAAAGGAAGGAGAAGAGAAAAGGAAGGAGAAGAAAAGGAAGGAGAAGAAAAGGAAGGAGAAGAAAAGGAAGGAGAAGAAAAGGAAGGAGAAGAAAAGGAAGGGGGAGAAAAAGGAAGGGGGAGAAAAAGGAAGGAGAAAAGGAAGGAGAAGAGAAAAGGAGGGAGGAGGAAAAAGGAAGGAGGTGGAAAAAGGAAGGGGGAGGAAAACAGAAGGGGAAAAGAAGGAAAAAGGAAAGGGAAGGGAAAACAGAGGGGAAAATGGAGGGAAAATGGCCTTTGGCACAGAAGAGGTGTCTGGGATGCCCTGAGCACACAGGGATGGTGCCTGGGCTGTGTCCATGTTCCCTCTGCCCTCGCTCTGGCAGGGGGTTCCTGCTGCCCTGGATGAGCCCTGGCAAGAGGAGCAAGTGGCAAATTCCCTGGTTCTCCCACCCCAGAGAGGGCCGGGAGCTGGGAACACCCTGCTCATCCCACATCTGCTTCCACTCCAGCTGCTTTTCCAGCAGCCAGAGCAGCAGAGTCAACCCCACAGGTGCTCCAAGCAAATCCCAGCTGGGATCCAGGAGTGCTGATAACCGGCTTTTTTAACTGGGATAATCATTCCTTTTCATTTCCTGCTGTGAAGGGATGAGGGTGGGGGGGGCAGACTAAGAGAAGAATTTGCTTGGAATAATCTGTAAAACATCTGGGAAGGGAGATCTGGGAGCTCTGGCTGCAACCTGAGCTCAGGCAGAGGCTCCTGGCGGGGGGGTTGTGTGGCCAAATTCCCAGATTTGGTTTTCCAGGTCTAACCCACCCTGGCCTGGTGAGTCTGGGGAACGTTCTGAGCTTTCCAGAAATACATCCCATCCCAACCCATGGACCTGAGTTCTTCTGAACTTATTCCTGACCAAATCAAGTGCCAGCTCTCTGCCAGTGCCATCCACACTCGGATGGGCAGGCAGGAAACTGGGACCAGACCCATCTGCTCCTCTGACTCAGGAGGTGGCACCAGAGGTGTCCAGGGAGGTTGGAATTGTGGTTTTCCAATGCCTGGAAGTGTTCCAGGCAAGGTTGGGTGGGACTTGGAGCAACCTGGTCTAGTGGAAGGTGTCCCTGCCCACGGCAGGGGGGTTGGAACGAGCTGATCTTGAAGGTCCCTTCCCAACCCAACCCATTCCACGATTCTGTAGAAACCAGGAAATTCAAAAGTGGACCAAAAGCAGCCAAAGGTGAGGAAACATCTGCTCAGCACTCTGGGAGCTGGAAATTCGAGGGGTTTAGCTCCAGGTGCCCAAACTTGAATCCACTTGAACTCCCAGCGCTGGGAGAGACGAGGGAAAGCCACGCATCAGCAGGGGAGGTCATTCCCAAGGGATCTGAGAGTTCACTCGGCAGAGAGAGGGGCGGTGGGGGAGGTTTTGGCCGGAGCTCAGGCACTTGGGGACACTACAGGGAGCGCTGGAGGACCTTGCCAAGCAGCAGGGCCACCAGGGGCAGGGCTGAGGAGCTGCTCCTCACCCCGCTGCTGGCCCTGGTTTCGTCGGTGCACAGGTCGGTGTAGCAGCAGGACTTGGGTTTGGAGGCCCCGATCCCGTTGTTGGACAGACATTCCTCCTCGCAGGCCCTGGTCACCGTGATGTTCCCAAAAAAGGGATAACCTGGAAGAGGCAGGTGGGAGAGGGGGAGAAGAGGTGAAGGAAGCGCAGGCAGCTGGCGGTGGGAAACACGGGAAAACGAGGTGTTGGGCGTCTTTAATCCGTGGATGCCTCTGATCCGGGCTGCTTTTTGTGGGAATGAGGCCACAGATTCTTAGTGCTGACTCCCTCTCACCCTCCTGCTCTTTGCTAAATTATTCCAGCGTGGTAAAGGGACACAAATCCCTAGGGATGTTCGGACACAGGTATAAATTAAGGGCCCGCGAGGGCACAGGGGTGGGAAAGGCAAAACGAGCAGAGCAAAGTATACTTTAAAAAATAGATATTAAAAATCATAATTTTTAATATGTCTATATTTATATTAAATTTTATATTCCATATTTATAATTTTGTATTTTAAACTTCACATTCATATTTTATGTTTTTGTTATATATTTATATTTTCTTTTTACATTTATGTATTTGTTTTACATATTTACACATTTAGATCAATTTCTTTAATGCCTGGATTAAAATGTAACGTATAAAATATGTGCAAAAGATATAAAAATATGAAATTTTTCAAACTTATCTAATATATATAAATAAAAGTAATATTTAAAACAATCCCTAATATATGCATAATGAGTCCTGTATACTTCACTGTGAGGCTCCAAATCTGCTGGATTTCCCTCCTTCCCTCTTTCCAGTGGGATAACTTCACCTGGATTCCTTTAGAGGAGTTAAAGGGCAATCCAAGGTGGGACTGGGATGGGAGAGGGAAGCGAGCCCAGCGGGTTGAGGGAGGTGATTTTGCCTCTCTGCTCTGCTGAGATCCCACCTGGAGCACAGAATCCCACACCTGGAAATCTGAGCAGCACAAAGACCTGGACCTGTTGGAACAGCTCCAGAGGAGCCCATGGAGATGCTCCAAGGGTGGAGATCCTCTGCTCTGGAGCCAGGCTGGGAGAGCTGGGAATGTTCTCCTGGAGAAGGGAAGGATCCAAGGAGACCTTGGACTCCCTTCCAGGGCCTAAAGGGGCTCCAGGAGAGCTGGAGAGGGACTGGGGACAAGGGATGGAGGGACAGCACAAGGGGGGAATGGTTTTAAACTAAGAGAGTAGATTTAGATGGGATATTGGGAAGGAATTCTTCCCTGTGAGGGTGGGGAGGGGCCAGGATGGAATTCCCAGAGAAGCTGTGGCTGCCCCATCCCTGGAAGTGTTCCAGGCCAAGCTGAAACAACCTGGACTGGTGGAAGGTGTCCCTGCCCGTGGAACTTGATGATCCCTTCCATCCCAACCCATCCACTGAGTCTCTGCTCCCTTCCCAGGAGATCTGCCAGGGATCTGCAGAGGGATCAGCTCCCCCAAGGACTTACCCGTGTCCACAGAGTGCAGGGTCGTGGTGCACACGGTGGCCTTGGGGGGGCACAGGGTGGCTGTTCTGCACTTGGAGATGTCCGTGGGCTCCTTGCACGTGTAGCATCGTAAGGACTGGGCTGCAAGAGGGGACACAAAGGCTCTGAGGTGGCACAGGGTGGCACAAAGCTGCAGCTTCCTGACCAAGAGCTGGTGGCATCCGAAACCAAGCAGGTCAGGAGGCAACGGCAAAGCTTGGATATGTCAGGGGGGGAAAACCCCAAACCCCAGCAGAAGAGACAAGGAGGGGGTGGCAGGAGTTGAGCCCAAACACTGTCTGAGGGGCTCAGCAGCTCCCCCACTCCCAAAAAATTTAGATTTAGAGTGATCTCGAGCAACTTTGATGGATCTGTGAATTCCCTGTGAAAAAAAAAAAAAAAAAGTTGTAACAGAGCAAAATATTCCAGCTGGAGAAGAGGAGACTGAGGGGAGAGCTTGGAGTTTGGCTAAAGCTTCCCAGTGAGGAGAAGCAGAGGGGTTGGGCACTGATCTCTTCTCTCTGGTGACCATTGACAGGACATGAGGGAAAGGCTGGAGCTGCTCCAGGGGAGGTTTAGGTTGGAACTCAGGGAAAGGTTCTTCCCCCAGGGGGTGGTTGGGCACTGAACAGGCTCCCCAGGGCAGCAGGCACAGCCAGAGCTCCAGGAGGGTTTGGACAACGCTCTGAGGGACAGGATGGGATTGTTGGGGTGTCCTGTGCCAGAGTGGGGCTGGATGATCCTCGTGGATCCCTTCCAGCTCAGGATATTCTCTGATTATTTGGAAATATCTCCTTCTGCTGAGAGCAGCCTCCCCCAGCCCTGCATGTCTGGCAGGTCCTCCCCCCATCCCTCCTCCCACAGCTCCTTCCTGCCTTTTCAGGGAGGAATTCCGCAGAAGTTGGGAACTGAGAGCAGAGCTGGAATTCCAGAGCTGCCTCAGAGATCCCGAGGGCTGGAAACCCCCCCCCCCCCACTTCCATCAGGTGCTTCTGCTGCTTTTTAAAGGGGTGACGCCTCTTTAAAAAGTGAGAGGGCATCGGTGAGGCCGAGGGAGGGGCATCACCAGTCCCTGATCCCGGGAAATCCTTGATCCCGGGAAATCCTTGATCCCGGCAGCTGCTCCAAGTCCCTGCGTGAGCCCTTCCCATCCCATCCCGACCCGGCAGATCCCGAGTGTGCGGATATTCCGAAGTCGCGGTTCTACCATCGCAAACCAACCAGCCAGTGCCATCTACTGGTAAATATTCAAACAGGCGATGGTTTTATGTTCTAATTCTGCTCCATCTGCTGCCGGAGAGGAACTTCTGGGGCTTTGGGAGGAGGAGAAATAGTTTGGAGGGTGTTTGTTTGAATACCTGATTTTTAATTTTTATTTTTTTTTAAATAATTAAATTTAAATTTAAGGAATTGGAAGAATTTTTAAGGTTACTTCTCTCAGCACCTGCTTTGGAAAATTCAGGTGTGTAGTAGAATCCTGTCTTTGTCCTCTTTTTCGAAATTTAAAATCGAAGTTTTTAAATGTAAGTTAAAATTAAATATTAAAAAAAAGAGTTTAAAAATTATAGTTAGCTTTAAGTTTTAAACTGTAAGTTAAAAATTTAAATTTTAAATTTAAAAAAATTAAGATTTAATTTAAGAAATATGACGATTTTTAAAGATATCTACTTCTCTCAGCATCTCCTTTGGAAAATTCAGGTGTGTAGTAGAACCTACACGATGCAAAAACCGTCTTTGTCCTCTTTTTTTGAAATTTAAAATTGAATTTTTAAATGTAAGTGAAATTAAAATTAAACTAAAAATTTTAAAAAGTTAAAAAAATTAAAGTTGAATTTAAGTTTTAAAATGCAAGTTATTTTTTAATTTTAAATTTATGTAAAATTTTAAATTTAAGACATTTTAAGAATTTTTAAGGTTGCTTCTCTCAACACCTCCTTTGGAAAATTCAGGAGTGTAGTAGAAACCCACACGATGAAAAAAACCATCTTTGACCTCTTTTTTTTTAAATTTAAAATCGAAGTTTTTAAATGTAAATTAAAATGAAATATGAAAAAAAGTTTAAAAATGAAAGTAAATTTAAGTTTTAAAATGTAAGGGTTTTTTTTAATTTAAAATTTGTATTGAATTTAACATTTAAGAGATTTTAAGAATTTTTAAGTTTACTTCTTTCAGCACCTCCTTTGGAAAGTTTTGTGCAGTAGGACCCACATGATGAGAAAACTTTCTTTGTCCTCTTTGCAGAGGTAAAAAAAGGACTCTTTAATGTGAGTGCTGATGGTTTTGTCGTGGCCATACCCTTGGAAACACGTTGTGGTGGAGCCCTCCCTGCTTTTCCCAGCTCAGGGAGTCACCAAATCCCTTCGGAAATGATCCGGGAGAAGTCACTTGAGGGAGAAAACTCATCATCAGCCCGAGAGTTTGGAGGTTTGTTGGGTGTGTGGGGTGGTGGATGGGTGGGTGGATGGTGGATGGATGGATGGATGGATGGATGGATGGATGGATGGATGGATGGAT